GTGTAACATTAAACGGGGTAAAGTAAAATAGCGCGAGAAATTTTATTTAACTTCTTAACTTTTAAATTTTTTAAATCATCTGTTCACTAAAATTATAGCAATGTAAGATTAGAGTTGGTAATCTTGGATAATGAGAATGCGATAGAAATATAGAATACGTAGCACAGAAATTGCTTTTCAATTTCTGGCATATATTGTTTCTAGCATATTTTCGTATGTTATCAACACTATTATAATAATATGTTTATTATGAATTTTTATGTCTATTACAGGTCTTTGTAACAAATTAGCATTCCTACAAATTAATAATTACGAAATTTATAATATATATCAAAAATCGATTAATTCTCTTGTAAAGTCAATTCTTTTTCTAATCGCTTACACATCAGTTAAATGCACTGGTAAAAGTATCATCAGTTAATACGATAACTATCTACTAATTACAATTTTTAATTGACAAAGCAACCTTATTGAAAGTTGCATCCTTATTGAAAGAAAACTTTACACAATCACGAACGTGAAATGTAACTCCAAGAAATATTTGGCGTATTTGGAAAACAGCAACGGATGCTTCGACAGCGCAGCGAGAGAAAAAAAGCCCTACGGAATTCCGTAAGAACCGGAGGGTGGCTGGTGAAGGGTGGCACGCAGCCCGTCGTCAAAATGGACGGGCTAAGCCCGTATAAGTCTAACGGGATTTTCGATCGTAGGTGGGCGGGTGAGTGCAGGCCGCAGTCCGGGGATGAGAAGGAGTAAAACCGAGGGGGTGAGTGCGATAGAAAGGGTGAGAAAGGGACAGAGAGAGAAATAGAGCAGGTAAGGGGAGTCCTTCAAGATGGCGGCTATAAGGGATGGTTTAGGGCGCGTGAGGGTTGCGGGTGAGGCAATATATCAGAGGAAGACCCTTCTCGAGGGTTGCTTCGCTTCCGACCGTGGTGGCCGTTACCACCCCCTTTTCTCGTACTCCCCCTTTTTACTTCTCCTTCCTCTACTCCGTTTTCCTTGCCACCTTCTCCTCCTCCTTCTCCTCTTCCTCCCTATTTCTCCCGCATCTTTTCTCACTCCCGTCTCTGGCACCCACTCGATCACGACCACCCCCTTAACTCGGCCCCGTACAGCCCCCGGGTCCGTTCTCTAAAGTATAAACGTCACTGGAGACTGATGGAAATGGACGAGATGAGGGGGAAACGGACGATCGGGAAATGGTAGAAAATCGAATGGGGGAGGAAGAAAATACGAAGAACCAAGGGATCCCGTCGCTGTTAAGGGGGAGGGAATTGGAAATTCGCCTGATCCTTACATAGTAACTGCTTTATTTTTTAGGTGAAGAGATATTCGAAATAAAGCACATTAGAAACATACTGCCAAATATCGACGAGGCTAGGATTTCGACTATTGATTGCGAGTATCGAAGATATAAAATGTCTTTTAATGCACACGTGAATTTTCAATGTTTTAGAGATTGTTTCATGTCATTTCATGTAATTAATCAATTTCTAATATGATATGATTATTTAAAAGGAGATCATTGTCACTATTTTAATATAAATGATTATTTTTAACAATAAAATGTATTAAAAATGTGTTTTAGCTGTTGAAACGACTTCAGTATTGTCATAAATAATAAAATTATTTTTTATAAAGCTAACATTAAACTTTTATGCACTCTTATCGTTATGTATCTATTGTTTATTATTAATAGCGGCGGAGAGATATGTTTCAATGCTTAATAAGTACATATTATAGATATATAATAGATATTTATTCTATCTTATAATGAAATACAGAAGGAGATAAAACGTACTTTGCTGAGTAAACACGTGACATAAATTTTTCCGTAATTCTGCGTAAAGAATGAACATCACGAGTCGGTTCCTTTCTACTTTGAATTGAGCTCAAGATGAAAGTGCAACTTGCCTCGCGTTTCGAGCATAGAAAACGCGATGTTTAAGTACCCTGAGACGCCCGCATTTTCCCGCCTCGTGGCTCAAAACGAGCGGTAATGAACGTCGATTTTTTTTGCTTAGCCACGTTTTGCGCTCGCGCCTCCTTGCGCACCTTTTTCTGTAATGTTCGCGGAAGGGATAAAACGGATACCTATAATTAAGTAAAAAATGCTAAAAGTTATTTTTTTTCCACTAATTAATTTTTGGAAATTTCCTTGTTTTGACTGGCCTTCTATTCAAATTAAATTACAATTAATTTCAGCAAATTAAAAAAATTAATTGTTTGTGCTTCGTGAAGTAGTAATAAAATTTTCGGTGCTCGCATAAAAATGTACAAATTATAAGCATAACAATTTATCGTGAGTGTAAAAATATTGGATTATTTTTGCAAAAATAAAATACTTTCTTCTCTTCTTCCTTATTGTCTTACTTAACAGTATAACTGTTACAGGAAAAATGATAAAAGGATCTTCCTTGGAGAACTGGCTTTCTTAACTTGCTAGTCTCACTAGGAAAATTCTTTTTCCGATACAAATCGCTATTCTTAGTCGTCTAGGCACAGTTCGAATAGATCTCTCTTTTATTCCCGACTTTTCCTGTCTTCAACTCACACGAAATGTATAAGAATTGCAGAAATGCAAGTTGCATGTAAAATATAAATATATGGAGAATATCTGTATAAATATCTACATGTAATATATGTAAATATGTAAGAAAACATTTACTTTTTCTAATAACTGAATAACATGACAGATTAGCTAGATCAGATATAGAAGATTGTATATATTAAAATACTATTAAAGAGATAAAGTTATTTAATTTTAAGTAAAAAATTTTGTCATTTATTAACAGTTCAAAAACTTAATTTGCTAAATATTTAACTCGAAAATTGTTAGTGACCTGAAAAGATAAGTTTCAGAATTTAATATTACAATTTAGAGCAAGAAATTTGAAACATCTATTACGAGAAATAAGAAACTCGATTATATTTTTTTAAATTGATCATGTTTCTTTTTTCAATGTAAGGAGAATACACGCATGAAAACAGGACCAAGAACCGAGAGAAGAATGCTAAAATCGTTACGCAACGCAAACATGATAAAAAGTTACAGACATACAAAAAACTCTGCAAGGTATAAAAGAAATGACGTTAGTGAACAACTCGCTTCTTCCATTCACTGTCTCTTTTATTCCTTGAATACATCAAGAAGCGCAGCCGCGAAGCGAAACGGGAAAAAGAAAACGACGCGACGAAAGACACGACGAAAGTGAAAAGCTCGCGGTAAATATCGAGCGTGTAATTTACTCTTTAAAGAACACTCGAACGATAATTAAGCCGACCTGCCAGCGCCGTGCCAGGAAGCTGGAAAAAGCGAGCAGGAATACTTGAACGGATGGAGTGAGGAAGAAAAGTAGAGTGCGGAAATATAAGGGGAGGAAAAATAGAGAGAGATTAATGCAAAGAAAGAAAAACGAAGAAAAATAAAAAAGAGAGAGAAATGATGAAGGAAAATGAGAAAAGGGATGCAAAGACTGTTGTAAGGAGAACAGGCGCAACTTAAAAAAAATCTTGTCTGGTTTTCTTTCGTGAGCATGGCCTGCAACGATACGTGAACTGCTTTTAATTAGCAACCAGGTTGTACTTGGAAAAAAAGCTAAAATATATAAGTATCAAGAATTAAATTAAGCACATGACAAACGAAGCTAGGCCAATTAAGATAAGAAAGACTCACAATGATATTGTGTAACAGACTGCAACTGTTTACTGCAGACTTATAAAAATTTCGACATTGTCTATACAACGTAAAATGTTAGTCGCTTTACTACACTTGGCACTATTGCCAATTTAACGGCCAGAAGAGGAAAAAGATATAATATTGACCTTTCTTACTTACAAATGTCAGTTGTTCGCGTTTACTTCGAAAAATTTGCTGATTAACATCTCAAGAATACATTCGATTTTTGGCACATTTCTTTCTGTTGTAATAAATCATGAACACATTTTTGGAGTAATATCATTATTCAATTTTCGTTGACAAGTTATATCAGACGAACACGTTTTCGAAGTAATATCATTATCCAATTTTCAAGTATTATCAGAAATACACATACAATTCATTACTTACATTCATTAGTGTTATAAGAATTTAGAAAATCGATATAATTCTCATGTTTATTTGGAATTTTAATTCTCTACAATTGCTTTTAATAATTAATTATTCTTTACACATGTTATTAAAAATACTGTATCCATGATATTTCATTTATTTTACGCATAATTTTAAATATTTTTTAAGCAATTCATTACTATCAATAAGTAAAAATTTATTTATTCACAATTTGGTTGTTCGTGCCACCTGAGAAAATATTTCAACGTCTTAAGAGACGGGATAGCAGTCTAATAAATAAATGAATGCAGTCTAACTCTTCGCCTAAATAAATAAAAGCAGACCGAAAGGGTGTCGACTCCATGCATTTCTCCCCTTTTTTGCGCGGGGGTGGGCGAGCCGGAGCAGCAACAGCAGCAGCAGCAGCAGCAGCAGCAGCAACAGCGACAACGGCTGCGACGGGAGGGTGAGTCGTACTCAGCGACGTTTTATACGTCGTCGGGTTTCATGCGGCGGGGTAATTTTTTTATTAGCTTGAAAACCACTCGACCCGTCGTCGTCGTCGTCGTCGTCGTCGTCGTCGTCGTTGGCGTCATCGTCGACGTCGTCATCGTTGTGTCGCGCAGCATGTCGGTGAGATCTACCCTCCCCCCCCCCCCACCGAGAAAAAGATCGACTACTCCTCGCGCGCTCCTGTGTCTATGTTTTTACTCTTTTTCCTCCTACTGTTCTCCACACCACACACCGTTGCCACCCCAGTTTGCTCTTCGCGGATTAATCGCGACTTCTCCCCCCGTCCATATTTCGCCCGTCAAACAGTCAAAAGAACCACACATTCATTTGCTTTATTAAGTAGTTTTGCGCGAATTAAGAGCACACTCGCTCGCGGCTTTATTAACTCGCGCGTTCTCATCTTCTCTTACTCCCTTTTTCGTTTTTGTTTCAGTTTGCTATCCAACGAGAGATGAGACCAATTATGCGACACGACGATCGGCGCACAAGTACGAACATGAGTGTGGAACACATTGTTGAACTTGGAGTTATTTCGGATGGCAGACGGCCGATTTCGAAGACCGTTAATGTTAGGCACTCAGCGTGTCTGCGATATAATTATCACGAGCGCCAATTAAGTATTCTCGTTTGCGGTCGATTGCTCATTCGTTATTAATCGCGCACGTTTAATGCAATTTTCACCGACAGTTTTCGTTAGGCATGATCCTGAAGACCATTATACCATTACGAGGGTAATTAATTCCTTATTAATAGTCTTTCAAAAAAAAATACGCGCTATTAAATATTCACAATTATCTATTTACGGTAATCTTTAGCAAATTATTACTACTAAATATTAAGTACCTAAATTTCTTCAATTAAATATTTTTGGTGAATGATATACGACTTGCAAAAGAATTGTTCGCCACACCATCCCATCCTTAAGTGTGTAATCTGGCGCGCGAATGGCAAATTTCAGCTTCGGCAAATTCCGGAGGAAAATTAAGGTACTTTTTCTCGACAGGTTAAAGTGTCAAGAACTTAAGACCTCGCGAGCAACCCCTCCTCGGGGTGTCGAGACTGCTTAGAAACTCTTAAAGGGTAATAAACTTGTTTCACGTGCACGCGTCGCTTATTATAACGAGTTTGAGAAATGCCGACAGGTTCTTCTGTTCAAGATATTCAGGTTACCAAACAGGATTGCAAAACGTGAACTCAAACGTTAACGCGGACTCTTGTATTTCTCGTGTTATTTATGTAAACGACATATAACAATCGCTGTACATAATATTCTTTACTCCGCGCAAAATATCGTATAAAAAAATGATGTTTATGTTTCCGTTTGTAGCTCAATCTCAGAAACGTGTGAAGTTAAACGATCCTCGCGGTTTTCGAGAGGTACGCGGGCTTCCCTTCGCGCGACAAAATGAGACCCGATGCGCGCGATCGTGTCAGAGTCATAGGAACGGAAGCCATCCTACGGAGGGCCCTCCGGTATTAATGCGAAGGAGAAGCCCTCGGTTCCCCGATTCTCCCAATCACTGGCATAAATAAATCGTGCTTCCCGTCTATTCCTTCGCCGTCGGCCCGGAATCCCCGCCACTCGATCAGGCATCGCGTATACGCCGTCAGCGTGCATAAGAAGAAAAAGGAAAGTGATCGGATGGGACGATTGTGCCGCTTCCCGCGATCGGATCGGAGATCTGTCGTTAAGCCGCGCTTACTCTCTGCCAGTCCCGCGGAACGATGTGTAATCAGGCCGACGTTCCCGATTTATTTGAGACAGCTTTATCACCGCCGCCGCGACCGTACAATACGGCCGATATATCGACGACGATAAAGGAGATATATTTTTGCACTTTCTCCCGGGTGACACATCGTATACGCGACGCTCTCGCCTCGCTCGCGAAACAGATTTATCGCCGTTTCCGTGATGTGCATACTATTAACGTATTATATTAGCGAATGTGGATGGTGCACATATCTTTATTTATAAATTACTTTCTCAGTTATGTCTTTTTTTTTTTAAATCGTCCTTGCTTTAATATACATTTCTTCCCAGATGCAGATTTCTTTATCTGATTGTAGGATTACTTTTAGACATTATCATTTTAGCGATATTTTAAAAAGCATTCATTTATGCCACATTTTAGCGCGCGCTATTGACGTCGAATAGTGAAAGTAATTTAACGAAATGCCGTAAATTGGAACATGAGAAGGCAACTATATGAAATCCCGAGGCGAATTCTTAGGGGGGAAGGGTTCTTGGTACGACGCTTAAGCATGGACTTTAACCATTAGTCTACGAGCCATTAACTAAATTATGCAAGCACCGCCGAACTCCTGCAAACGTAGCACGCGTAAACTTCAGCCATCGCGTTGGGATCCGGATCGATCGAATTATTCATACCATCCACATATGCTGCTCTAACTTACGTTCATCATTAGCCCTTCGCGACCTAGTACGAAGTTTCGCAGTTATTTTTGCTCGTAAGCTCCGCGTAATAGATACCGCATGTACATTATAATGAATCACGTTAAAATGAATATCAACGTACGTCGTTGTTCGGTTTCTCGTGCGTTTTATATTATTATAGATCTTGAAAAGTATCTTGAACGTATTACTGTGCTTTGGTGTGTGAATAAATTAGGAATACTATTACGAATAAACGCAATTAAGAAACTTGTCCATGTGACCATTACTTTGCTTAGAGTCTTTTGCGGCGTATGTCTTTCAAGAGAGGCAATTTATCAGAGGTAGTTCGAACACGAATTGATTCTGGATTTATTTACAGCATATCCCGTCCGAGTTTTTTAATTACGAGAAACTAAAAGCCCCCAAAGTTGGACTCGACCCCGAGAATGTCCCGCTAGTGCACAGGTGTGGGTCACGAGAGAGTCGTTAACGCGCAGCCTTAACTTAACTCCCGGCGATTAATCTCCCCACGCTAATTATTTAACCGGTTACCGGGAGAGTCCCGAACGGTCGAATAACGGCGTTCCGTTATCGGATGTATAGCAGGATCGTTCGAGTGGAGTGGTGGCAGCGGGGGGTGCGGGGCAGAGGCATCAGTAGCGAGTAGGGGGGTTTAGGGGGGTGAGGTCTTGAGGTTCGGTCGCGCTTACGAGGATACGCTTGCACGAGGGGTTGGGATCTCGCGCAAGAGTAAATTGATTAGAATTAAAGGGTTGGCTGGCAGGTGCTGCTACGGAGGCTGTTGCAGACCTACCCGAGGAAGAAGAGACCTCGAGAGGAGAGCGAGTAGCGGCGAGGAAGAGCCACGTCGCGAGAGGAACGGAGGGAATCCCAAGCCAAGAGGGAAAAGCAGCAGGACGTGGGAGGGAAAGAGGGGGCGAAGGTACAACGGTGACCACAGCCTCGACGCTGATTGGTCGAGTCAAGTTTGTGGCAAGATGGCTGGCTGGCTGGCTGTTGCCACCGCCGTTGCCGCAGCTACTGCTTCTGCTTCTGCTTCTGCTTCTGCTACTCTATACTCACGTCGTCCTCCCTTTCTAGTCCTCGCGCCCACCATTACCCCCCTTACCGCCTCAACCCTTCCTCCGGCTCTACGGCCGCGCTGCCGTAGTTCCCTTCTACGCGTCTCTAAGATGCTTTACCTATGTGCCAAATAGATGTATGTACGTGTACACGCCTGTTCGAAACAATGCCGGGCGTGCAACCACCCTCGCGCGCTCGCCCACTACCCTTTCTCCGGCCCACCACCCTCCGCGTCGCGCCCCCTGCCCTCTTCCACGAGGCTGCCACCATCCTTACGTGCCACACCAACCCTTACCGCTACCTATACGCTCTACCGCCGACCACCCACATCGCCCGTCTCTTCCTCCGGCCACCCCACCCTCCCCCTCCCCCCGTCACCCACAGCTCTCCATCTCAACTCTGTGAGCACGGCGTCACTGCTTCTACCATCCGCAACGCACACCACCACCCACCCTCCTTTCACCCATCACGTACGCCGTCCTTCTCTCCCCTTTACGTACCTTTCTCTTTCCCTTTCTGTTTCCACTTCCGTCTTCCTCAAACGCCCGATCCAATCCACCCGACCCGACGGGTAAGACCGTACGGTGCCGTAAGTACGGGAACACCGGCGCGGTCTCTCAAAGAGAATGCGATAATACGAAGAACTTCGACTAATGAGTTAATAGTTGGTGCCTCGCGTTACCGGCAGTACCGGGAAGTACTTTATTCGACGTCGCCGGGAGCAACGAGATTATAACGCGGCGGAGTGGGTGTGAGTGAAGCCACACTCACACACACACACACACACATACACATACATATTACGCGCGCGCGTACATCGCGTGTATACACACAGCCACACGCTCGCTGATATCCGGAAGAAGTATATGCGTAACGGCACTGTCGACAGCGAGCAAGACCGTTGAGAAAATTCGTCCGACATAATCAGACGACTATCTCGTTTCCGTCGCCCACCTTCCGAGTCCTTCAAGTCGTGCCGATCTCTCTCTCCTCAGCCTTGAACGACTTTTCCTCTTCTTTGCCCGCAAGGTCGCCCGCGGCGGCAGCTGATTTACTGTCGGCGCGCGCCGCTGACGCCGATCGAAGCGGCGTTCATAATCGCGCCCTCGCCTCGTGCTAATTAACAGGCCTTCGGATCCTTCGCAACTCTCGCGGCCGAAACGAGGGTAAAAAGTAACTAATGGGTAATGCCGGCTAATGGAAAAAACTGGGGTTGACATTTTGATTGTTTCTTCTCATTGACTCACGCGCGCGACCCGAGGCTATATAAAACGTTATAATTAATATATAAATAAACATATCGATGACTTTCAACCCTAGCTAGCGCCACACTTCTTTTCGAATCCTTAATTCACCACACTCCGATCCGTGAGACCGCTCGACTTTGTCGCACTGTCATTTTCTAATTAATATCCGCTTATAATGTGTAGGAATTGGAAATACAGAGTCTGAATAAGAGATTTATGATAATATCAGGTCAAGAAAATGATTTGAGTTTAAATTGAATTTATTATAAGGAAACTAGAAAATTTTATGTTATCATGTGAAAACTAGAAAACCGAAAAACGTTTAGCGGTCCAATGGACCGGAATGTGGCGAGCTAAGGTTAACTTCAAACTTTGTAAGAATTTGCGCCAAACAACACAATAGTTATATTTGTGATTGTATCAATAAATAACAAGCTATTTCCCGACCATAATCTTGATCAATTCCGAAGTTTTTTTTGGAAAAATTTTAAAAAAGGTTGGCAGATTATTTTTATTAACAAAGAAAAGCGAATTAGAATCGTTCCGCTATCATTTATATTAATACGAACACATGCGAGATTCTTTTTATTAACAAAGAAAAGCGAATTAGAATCGTTCCGCTATCATTCATATTAATGCGAACACATGCGAGATTCCTTTCAGTTTGACGAATATATCCGGTGAGGGAAGACGAACGCGGCGTTCAGAGAGCCTTCTTTGGTTTAAACGTCGCGGAAAAATTCACGCCTCGAGATTCTCTCGTGACAACAAAAAGGAACGGCGCGAACTTGCCCGCTCCATAACCGTTCGCGTAGAGAAAAGTGCAACCAATAATTTTATTTTCCGCGATAAAGCACGGCGCTCGCGTGGCGTCGCCAAAGCGCGGGGGTGGCGCGTGGGCCACCATGAGGGATACGGGATTGGGGTGCGACGGGGGCAAGCCGCGTATCTTTAGTAAGTAAACAGAGCGCCTTATGAATTTTAAGCAGCACGACGGAGAGAGTACCAGAGTCTCTCTCTGCAGCTCGCTTATTTTCGTCATC